ATATATATATTATGGATAAATATCTGTTTAATGATATTTTATCATGTACTATGGTTGGTTTTATATGTGCTAACCCTTGCATGTTTTCCATGTGGTTTGGACTGTGATGATCTCACTTTGTGGGGGAGCAGATCAGGTGTGAGGCTTGGGATAGCAAGAAGTCTTCTGATAGCTGCTTTGAGTAGTAGCAAGGTTTAGAGCTTGACCAGCACCTAGGGTGTCTATATTATATTATCTTTTGGATTACTGTATAACTTTACTAAGGATGATGACTCTGCTATAGCAGATTATATTATATATTTTGGAAACAAATTATATGTTATTGTATAATTACACTCTAGCGTAGCTGGCTTTTGCTCTATTTTCTTTATTTTATAACATTTTATATTGGTTGGTTATTGATGTGACGGCCTAGGGCGGGTCGTTACACCGTCCCTGTATAACATTATAACATTATCCACTTTAAACTTAAATCATTATAATTTTACTTTTTTGTCATCTTTTAAAAAGTTTTATACTAATGAAAATTATATATATTTTATAAAAAAAATTATAATATAATAATATAAGATTTTATTTGTATCTCAATAATTATTTATAATTCTTAATACTTGGTATGAAAGAGAACTATTTTAACACTTAATATTAAAAAAAATCAAACTTATCCTTCATATGATAATAAAAGATAAAAAGAAAAAATAAACGTGTACACCAAAATTTGCTTTGGACTTTAACTATTTTATACATTCTTTCTAAATTAAATTTTAGGGATCCAGTAAGAATCATGGAAATAAAAAAAAAAATTGTAGAATACTTTAAGATGTTTATATTATAATCATAAAAGCTTCCATTAAATATACGTATTGTTGATTCTTTTTAATAAATAAACATTTACAAGTGATTGTTTTATTTTAAAACTTGATACATTGATATGAGAAAATGTCGTCTAAATTTCACACTTTTTTTTTTTAATATTGTCGTAATTCTTAAATAAAGGAATACAAAAAATATTAAGGAAAACATAAGTTTCTTGTTGAATTGTTTAGAATTTACATGAAAAGAAGAAAAAAATGAATATCCAAATACACTTCAAAAGCTAGACTTGTGTACAGCGTGCCTTTCCAATCATAAAGTTATTTTAACTTGACTAATTATTTAATATTGAGTATGCACACAACTTATTAAGTAATCTATATATAATTATATTAAGCATTTAGATAAAACGAAACATCGACTATGTAATATTATTTGGCTCTAATAAAATTACTGATTCCCATAAAATATATCCTAAAAGTGGGGGAAAAAAATTCTAAAAGTACTATCCTGAGATTTTTCTAATAAATTATTCTTATCTTGCATAATAATGGTATAAGTAATGAAGTCAAAAGTGAGGTTCCAGGCACAATCCACAGTTTCCTTGTATACATATTCCCCACCCAAGATGTTCTCTCCCACGTTACATTCTCCCCCAACATTGTCCAATCAACTTTTTAGTTGTCAAAACCATCCCATCATAAAAATTTACAAAATATATAATTATAATTTTAATGATTTAAAATTAGGGGGTTCACCGGCTAGGTGACCCCCAAACTTAAACCAATTTAAAATTTCAAATCAATTAAAAAATTTAGTGTTTAAACCAAACTTAATATAATTCTCCATTTAATTTTTTAAAAAGTAAGAATTTTACAAAATAAAAATTAAAATTAAAATTTTATTAGATCAAAACATCATAAAAATTTTAAAATATTACTAATTCATAATGGTATAAAAAAAATGTTAATTCAACGAAAAACATCCGATATACAACAACAAACACTTGAATAAATTAGTGTAAAATTATCTTAAAAACTTAATTAGTTATCTTGAATCCAAATTTTGTTATACAAATTGTTAAATACAAAAAACAAAAATAATATTATCCACATAATTAAAACAAAATTACCTTTAATATATACAATTTATAAATAAAAAAATAACAAAAACAAACAAACAAACAATCTTTTAGTCACCCATGGCAAGACCGTTATTACCTCCAAAACCCCAGGGCTAAAACGGACCAAACCCCACCCCACTTACCTATAAAACCCATGTCACCACTTCACCATTGCTTCGTGTTCTCACAAGTCTCTTTCCATTTCAAGTTTTCAACTCTCCTCAGTCTCACCATGGCCTCTCGCTACGAGCTCGAAGTGAAGCTCACCTCAGCCCGCGGCCTAAAGAACGTGAACTGGCGCCACGGCGCCAACCGCCCATACGCCGTCGTTTGGGTCGACCCCAACAACAAATTCTCCACGCGCGTCGACGAGGACGGCGACACCGAAGCCAACTGGGACCAAACCCTTCTCATTCCCCTCCCTCCAGAGCCTCTCGAGGATCTCACGCTCTTCGTCGATGTCGTCCACGCTGGTTCTGAGAGCGATACCAAGCCGTTTATCGGCTCGGCTCGCCTCAAGCTCGTGGACGTCCTCGACGAAGGAGGGATCGACTTGCGTGTGAGTCGATCCCTCACGCTAAAACGGTCCTCGGGAAGACCGCAGGGAAAGGTTGAAGTTGGTGTGATGATTAGAGAGTCAGGCTATCGTGCGCGGGGCGGGTACAATGCGAATCCCTATGGTGTGAGGGAATATTCTCCTGCGCCGCAGGGCTATGGTTACCCGTACGGGGCGCCGCCACAGGAGAATTATTATTCTGCGCCTCAGACGGCGTCGTATGGGTATGCGGCGCCGCAAACGGCGTCGTATGGGCAGGGGAGTGGATACGGGTACGCGGCGCCTGAGGAGAAGAAGAAGAGTAAGTTTGGGGGGATGGGGACGGGATTGGCTGTGGGCGCGGTGGCTGGGGTTCTAGGTGGAGTCGCGCTCGTGGAGGGTGCGGAGTACGTAGAAGACAAGATTGCTGATGACGTGGCGGAGAGGGTCGAGGATGATCTTGGTTACGACGATGGTGATGACTTCTAGAGAATACGAACTAATGCGAAAAGAAGAAACAAAAAAAGACAAAAAAAAGGAAGAAGAAATAACTTTGACGCTTTTACTTTTTTTTTTTACTTTGTCAGTTATGCTTGTTAATGTTAACTCTCTTCTCGTTGCTGTCGTTGATAACGGTTAAATGCGTGTACACTTTACATATGCTCTTTCTCTTTTGATATTCCCATACTTGTCGTGTTAATTAAGATTATTTTGGAAAAGATAAGGATTCTTTCTTTTAGGGTTTGAGTTTTTTTTAAGAGGAAAACATTTTTATATAAAAAAAAAATTGGTTTTTACACGTTATAATTACTCCATGATTGTGACATGATCTAATCGAGCATTCGATTTCTACTCCGTGATTATTTTAACTTAAATTTCAATAAATAATTATTTAAAGAATACGTGATAAATTAAATCTTCTCGGTATTGTTTTTTTCTTCATCTTTTATGTAGTTTATTCATTTTGTGGGTTTCATGGAAGTCAGGAATTCACAAGTTCTTGAAGAGAGTAATACTAATACCTTAGAAAAGTCGCACTTCCAAAGTTGCCGTAAAGAAAAGGTTGAAATGTAAAACATTATAAAAGTGGTGGTTAGCTAATCTAGTGATTCAAAATCTAGAGGCTAGAAATGTGTTCTTAAGGAAAAATGTATTACTCGTTTAGATATATTTTTCCCTAGATGTCTTACCAAATTGATATCGAAGAACTTCGTTTATTACTCATTGGTGTTTCTTAGCCTAACTAGTTGATATGAAAAGTGAGAGAAGAAATATCTTCGGCACTTTAATTTTTCTTTTTCTTTGTCAATTATGCTTTCTAATTCTTTTGATAATGTTATTGATAAAGGGTAAATGTGTGTACACTTTGCATATCCTCTTTTTTGGATGAATTCTACGTTGAGGAAGTTTAATATATGGATCATCGTGGATATAACTAATTTCAACTGTTGAGGAAGTGTAAGGATGAATTTTTTTTCTTTTTTCTTTATCTCTTTCACTCATTTTCTCAATTTACCCTTACCCCTCTTGTGCAGCCATCCTTAAGGATTTTAAACTGAAACATGACGACAGAAGAAAGAGTCGCGGGAAAGGAAGAACGCGGAAGATTTAATAGAAGAGAACATGATGATGGCGTAAGAGATCATCATCACACATTTAGTGGCTATTTTTGGATGAATTTCATTCTTTATATTCAAACTAGTAAATTTAACTTAAATATGTTTCATAAATCATAATTTTTAAGTAAAATTTGATCATTATTACGAGTCATTTATAGTAAATGTTACGATAACCAATTGAATAACATAAATATCAATTAAAGAAATTATAATCATATAAAAAGTAATAAAACTAAAAAGAAAACATGTATATTATATCGAAAGAAAAGAAAGAATTGGTATATAAATACATACAAACATTTCTCAAGATGGCGAAAAAGTAGACAAAATAGTGTATAAAAGTTAGTGTAAAAAGTTTTCCATCTCTATCTTATATCTCAACTCGAGTATTTAAAAAAGAAATATTACAATGATCATTGATTTTACACACTTATAACATTTAGTTATCTCTAAAAACGGTTAATAATCATCTTAATTTCCAAAACTTTGATACTCAAAATTTGTTTGATTTTTCACTCTACATTCTTTAACATTCCTTTTAAGCTTTCTTGGACTAATTCCTTTTTGATCCCTCGAGTATGTAAAAAATTTTGTGGATAAAAGTAGTGGATTGCTATTTCCAGTAATCTTCTTCAAAAAAAATTTCTTTCTCCCTTTGCCCCCTTCTTACTACACCCTACAACCTAAAATGGCCACCATAGTGGCAGAGCCACCTTGCATTGTCACTAATGCCTTCTCTCTCACACATCCCCTCTCTCTCTTACTCATCTTATTTTTCCTGATCTGGTTGCTTATACACAACAGTTAGAGAGAAGGATAAACCGGGAAAATTAGTAAGAAAAAGAAAAAAAAAAGAAAAAAAAAAGGAAAAAGGAAAAAGAAAAGAAGAAAAAATCTCATTGTCCACCATAGTCCACATGCACATGTTGTGCACCCTAGCCTCCGTCTCTTTTTTGTTTTGGTATTCCGAGACTAGTCGTGTTTATTAATAGAGAAATATTACTCTAACGCAATCTTTTAAATACACTTTATTTTTTTTTCTAATTTGTTAAAATTTATTGAAAAATATAAAAGTTGGTTGGTCTTATTCTTACATCCCATTTAATAATTTTCACTTCTGATTTTGTATTTTTTTTTTATAAATTATAAATTAATAAAAGAGAATGTATTAAAAAGAGGGTATTAAAGAGTGCGTTATTAGCTCATCACTTATTAAAATTATTTAGGAAATTAATGTTTTCTTTAGAATTTTATAGAAAAAAATAACATTTTCCATGACAAAAAATAACATTTTCCATGACAGAAAAAGACGTTCCTAAGTCTAATTAAGCATGCTATAAGTTCATGATTTTTTTAGTTTAAAATTTTGAGAAATAATTTTTTAATGTACGCTTTTAAAAATTTGAAAAGAAATATATTATTTGTTTGAAATGAACTAAATTAATTAAATGCGTACCAAAATTTATTTGATATCATTTATATAGTTTATTATTTTGGCGATTCCACCAAAGTGTGGAATTCTATACCTTCCTCGCATTTTTTTAAGTTGTCATAAGAAAAGGTTAAAGCATTACAAAAGTGGCGATTAGTTGATCCAGTTCAAACACTAGAGGTTAGAAAATTGAATCAACAGGGTTGTACACGGATAAAGGACTAATCTCCTATAAAATGTTTGAATCTTCACTTATAATTATGCCTATATTAATTTGGTAACCACACAAGAAATGAAAAAGAAAATAGCAAAACGATGTGGTTTGAGGGCCCACTTTTTCCAATGTGGCAATATTCAAGCAATTTTGAGGTATTATTTTTATTTTCTCCAATATGCTGTGGTTGGCTGCTTCAAGAAGTATCCAAGGTAGGCATGGCAATCCCGCGCCCTTTCCCGATACCCGCCGGGGATAAAATTTGGGTCTCCATCTCTGTCCTTAGCGGGGTTCGGGTTTCCCGTTCTCGCTCTTATTTTTTTTCTTTTTTTTTTTCTTTTAAATAAATATATGAACAATTTAAAAAAACATAAAAGAAAAGTAAAATAATATAAATTTTTACATATTAATATTTATAATTTTAGTTTATATATATATAAAAATATTTTTTAATTATATTATTAAGCGGGGTGGGGGTGGGGGTGGATATTAACATCTCCACCCCGATTTTATCAATCGGGGAAAATTCGAACTCGAACCCAAACTTGATAAACACCGCATCCAAATTGGGGCGGGTTCGAGCGAGTACCCACGAAAGCGGGTTAGATTGTCATGCCTAATCCAAGGCAACGTTCGGACGTGATGGTAACATTGATTTCGTTTGGAAAACCTGGAAGAGGTCTTCATCATGCTTCGTAAAATTGAGAGACACAATATTCCATATCGATTAAAAGTAAGGTTAATATAACGAATTAACGATATGTGTGGCCTAAATCAAGTTTTATGATGATTTTGATTTTTTTTTCTTTAAATGAGAAAATATATGTTGAGCCTTTTTCAAACATACAAGAACAATTTAACAAATATACGAAGCTTTTTTGACGATATATGTATCTTTTTTACTTTATAAAAATAAATAACAAATATTCTTTTTGTATGAAATAATATGATAAAAATAACAAAAATATAATCTCTTTATATATATATATATATATATATATATAAATACATCCTCTCAAATAAGTTGTAAAAAAATAATCCTAACAGTTGTGATACCAAGTTGAGAAAAAGTGAAAGAGAGAATTATGTGTGATACCTGCTGATATTCTTTAATCATGTTTAGGAGTAGCTAAACTCTATTCTTGGGTTAGTTGTAAACACTCATTCTCATGTATTTCTCTCGATAATTAAATATATATTTTTGTATTTCTATGTATTTACTTTTGTATTTTTTATCTTTTTATGATTTAATCACCCATAAATGAATTCTAATTTGAAAGATTAATTGAAAAATTGGTTTTGATCATAACTAAATGAAACACTTAGTATTGCTTGTTTACTAGGAATAGGGTTAAGTAGTTTTATCTTCTTATATTCCCCTTGTTTAATACTAAGTTTTTTGTTTAAGTTATTAAAGGATTAAGACTTACATATAGATCCCAGGCTCTCTCTAGTAAGGAATTACGATTAGGATAATTTAGTAAAATGATGACAAAAAGATAAGTAAAAGTATAATTTGTTAATTCTAAATTATACTGTGATTGTTGTATTTATAATCTTAATCCAACATATTTTAACTTGTAGTCAATTATCTTTTTGCATACCACATGTTCAATTAATTTACCTTTATACTTTTAATCTATTTTACACCTAATTCAATTTTATTTTTGATAATTAATGTTGAGTATGAGTTATGCTAGATATTGAAGCAAGTCTATTGAGAAACAATTTTTACTCATATTGTCTATTTGTATTAAGATAATGTGCACTTGTCAATAATTACAAAAGAGACTAATGACGCTATGATATCATTTTAAAAATAGTTCATTGAGTCTAATCTAATCTTACAAAATTGACTTGTAAGATGAGAATTATTCTCGATTTATACATACTTGTATGGCGATCTTATTAGAAGATATGAAATCCTCATAAAAAAAAACAAAAGAAATGGAAAGAAAAACATTACAAAGAATAGAATTAAAAATAATAATAAGTAAAACTAATATGTTGTTTGAATAAATAAAAAATATATATTTATTTATTTAAATGCATAGAAAAGACAATAAAAATAAATAAATAAATTGAGTGAACCATCGAATTATTTTTAAAAGTTTAAGACACCAATAAGCTAATCTTAAATGAAAGAAAATTACAAGTCTTACAAATTACTTATCAGTCTTGTTAGTCCAAGCATGCATGGATGTCACCAACATCGCTGGTAGATGATGAATTAGCACGTTAAGATGAAAAATATAAACAAAAATTATTTATAAGATATTACATTACTTAATAATAATAATTTTATTAAAAATAAACAATATTTAGTAAATATCTTAATTGCAAATGGTTAAGACAATCCAAATTTACACTTAAAATACATAAAGTTAACCCCTACTATTATTGATTAGTTTTTAATTATCAATTTTAAAATATTATATCAATCATATTTATGGAAAAAAAATTACATAAAAGTGAAAGTTAAATTCAGCAAAAGTTGCTTTAAATCGGATCAAGTTTATGGGACACATAAATCATGAACACTCTTGGGGAGAAGGAAAGGAAAATGGAATTAGCGCTCTACTACAAAATGTTAAATTAGACTGTTTACAACTTCCGCCTCTGATTTCTGTCATTTCTAAGTTTATCATCAAATGTAAAATTATTTTACTTATTTTTATTTGTAGGACAATTGTTTGAAAATAAAAGTATTTAATACACATAAAATATATTTTTACTTCTTGTACGTGGAATAATTTTTTTTTTTCACTCCAAATTTAAAAAGTTTATCTCTCTTATTGCCACTATATCCTCTTGTTTCCACTTCAATAATTCTATTGCTTATTTGATGTTAATTGTAGTTGCTTCTGTTATCAAAAGTGGAATAAAATTTTCTCAAATCTCAGAAGTACTTTATGAATGAAACATGTGAAATCTCAATATATGTTGCCAAGTGAAACAGGGCATGATCATGTGACTCCACTATAAGAAAGAGGAAAGAGGTCATGGTTGCCGCCTAACAGTGAATTATTGTGAAGGAGATTGTGTAGTGACATAAAAATTCACGGATCCAATAGACCAAATAAAATTCCAAAAATTAACTGAAACCAAAAAATGTTATAGCACTGTGTTCAATTGCCAATGTTGAAATAGCAGATTAATTAACCTAAATAATTTACCTAATATTTGTTCAATTGCCAATATTGGAAAATAAGACTATGGATCTATCAGCAAAAAAGTTCGTGTGGATGCTTGCAAAAACGTGCAATTATGTCAAACTTAGTGGCTAAGTTTGTCAAGTACAACAAGTTCACTTCACTTTTAGTTTTTTGTTTATTCGTTTGGCTGATTGGTTTTTGTTTCTTTTTGATAGTGACAGTGCTCAGCCATACTTGCCTTTAACTTTGCCTTTACCTTTCAAATTGGAATTGTCTAAATTGCAGGGCAAGGGCTTATGAGCGTTTGAAACTTGAAACCCTTTTCATCTGCTAATCCCTAATGAAGAACCAACACACTCAACAACGCCTTCAACCTCCACTGGTCAGTCCATTTCATTTCTTCACACATAACCTAACCCATTTTTCAGACACAGCACCTTTATTTGTCTTTTTAAATTATTTTTTCTTTTACTGATAATGATACTGATATTGCCCTGATGGTTGATGTTGATATGATGATTTCATGGTCCTCATGTTTTCTTGATCTCACTGTCCTCGTAGCATTTAATAATCCTTTCATGCCTACATTCATATATAATGCTAACATTGAACACAAATTTTCTGAAGAAAAAAATTTGGGCTTCATCAAATTTTGTTTGTTTCATTAGTCAATAGATTAGCAAGTGATTGTTTGTTATATGTTATAAAGGATGTAGGCAGATCTGTAGGGTTCATTTAGTTCCAAACTCACCTATATACACTACTTTAATCTTATTACTGTAGACGTGGAATCCCCAACAAAAGAGATTTAGTATGTGATGTGATCATGTGAAGTTGGGAACCTTACTTTATGCATTTATATTTTTAAATGGAATAACTTTTATGAGGTTGTTGTTAGCAACTTAGCATACTAACATAGCAAGTGTTACAGGTTGATTCTGTTCCAGGATCAAAGCTCTGTATCCAACCTGACATAAATCCAAAAACACATAAGAGAGAAAACTCATCTAGAGAAGGGACAAGTGTTCAGCCTCCTCTTCTACCTGATCTTCCCGATGATCTTGCTATTGCTTGTTTGATTCGAGTACCCCGATTTGAACACAGGAAACTACATTTGGTTTGCAAGAGATGGCACCACCTTCTGTCTGAAGAATTCTTTTATTCACTCAGGAAAAGACTTGGAATTGCAGAAGAGTGGCTATATGTCATCAAAACTTACCGTGGTGGAAGAATTTCATTGCATGCTTTTGATCCCATTTACCAACTATGGCAAACCCTTCCCCCAGTTCCTGCAGATTTTCCTGAAGTGATGTGGTTTAGTTGTGCAGTTCTTAGTGGTTGTTGTCTGTACTTAATTGGTGGAGTGGATATGGAAGGATCTATTAGTATTACACAGGTAATTTTCTACAACGCACTTACAAATAAATGGTATAAGGCACCAGATATGCTTCAGAAACGCAATTTGTTTCGATCGTGTGTAATAAACAATTGTCTTTATGTGGCTGGTGGACAACTTGAAGGAAATCAAATGACTAGATCTGCTGAAGTTTATGACCCCAATCAGAACAAGTGGAGTTTCATCTCAGAGATGAGCACAGCCATGGTGCCTTTGTATAGTTTTGTTCACAATGGAACATGGTTTTACAAGGGAAATGCTATTGGAAGTGGTAATTCCATGTGTGAAGCTTACTCACCTGAGACTGATACCTGGACTCAAGTTAGCAATGGAATGGTCAATGGATGGAGTAATCATTGTAAATGTATCTCACTGAATGGACAACTCTATGCATTAGATTGCAGGGATGGATGCAAGCTAACTGTGTATGATAGAGAAACAGATTCATGGAAAAATTTTATAGATAGTAAGGTTCATTTGGGTAGCTCTCCAGCTTTTGATGTTGTTGCACCTGTTTCCCTTAATGGAAAGCTATGCATTATCCGCCAGAATATGAGCATTAGTTTAGTGGATGTTTCTAGTCCTAACAAACAAGTGGAAAACAATCCTCACCTTTGGAAAAATATTGCTCGAGAATGTCATGGCAAGTCTTCGGTTAGAAGGTTATGGTCAACTATAATAAGGCGTGGTCGTTCAGATTCAAAGGGTTACATTGATTGCTGTCAGGTGCTTCAGGCCTGAGATGAAAATTTTCTCTGATAATGCTGGTTATGCAGTTAGGGAAACTAATTGAAATGTGTTTGCCCACTTACTTGCAATGGACATGTAGGAGAAATTATGTTTCTTCCTATAAAGATGATGTTAATTGTTGATTTTGACAAGAGAATGAGGTCTTGAATAGGAGACACATGTTGTATATGCTATTTCACTCTGAGGCCATGGCTTTTCCCCTTGTTACTAGATATAAGGTTTGTTAGGCATGCTTTATGGCTATTAGAGATATAGTTAGTTGGAGATTAGTAGTAAGTTTTACTAGTATGTTATAGCCTATATAAAGGCTTGATGTAATCACTCTGGACTCACCTTTCTCATTATCAATACATTCTATATTCAGGTCTATATTTTTTTCTTAATACTCTCTTTTCTCTTAGAGATGAATCATGAATTCTAACAGCGGCTGTACAATGTACATGATTTATTAGAACTAAGAGTATAGTAAGAATAAAAATAATAATGAGAGTTTACAACTATATTTCTTAAACTTCATAGCTGGAGAATAATGCTAAAAACTACCATGAAAAATGTACATTTCTTGCTAGGTAATGATGCCAGTCAAATAAAAACTCAAGAAATGCATTGCTTACATACATAGCAAATATAAAGAACAAAAATTCTGAGCTGGGAAAAACCAATGCACCAAAGTTTTCTTTCGATTATTCATAGATACAAGAATAGGGGTCTGTTTGCTTTTACTCTTCTGTAAGAACTCAAGTGGAGTAGTGGTTCTTTCAAATTTATTGAAGATTTCTTAATAATTCATTTGTTTGAAACTTAATGTTAGTATGCTTTAAGCATTATGACATATCACAAAATCGCTGAGAAACAAACTTATGGAAGTCATAAATTAGCTACTTATCCTGTTATAGTGTCTATTCGGCAAACAAGTTTTGTGAATTTTTACAAGGCTTAATTGAAGTAGAATTTATACTTTTCGGTTTTCGTTGGTTATTATATTTTCTTTTGTTTTTCTGCCACCCTTGAATTTTGTGTATGAATATTGTCTTTGTTAATGAATTGTCCATGATTTTTCCTTTTCCACTAGTTATTGTTGATTATTAACTATATAGGTTTATAAAGTATTAAGATAACATAACCCTTCCGTTCCAAGACACGCGACCCAAATAAGATCCTGCATACAATTTGATAGCAACACCACTTTCATTGTGCTATGATCTTGCCTCCAAATAAGATCCTGCATACAATTTGATAGCAACACCACTTTCATTGTGCTATGATCTTGCCTCCAAATTACATTTGAATGAATTATTTCGTTTCTATAAGCTCAAATTTAATTTTTGATCATCTCGTATAATTTCATACAATTTAATTATTTCACAATCAGCTATTGATCATCTCATATCTCCATTGTTTTACTCTGATTGCGATTTGCTGCTATTGATATGCTTGCATGAAACTTCTCTCTGTATACCAATGTATCGAATCCAATCATTCTTTGGATAGCTCTTATTGAGATCGATTATTGCAATCCTATCATTCTTTTCAATTTTAATGAATAATAAAAAGTATATTGAAAAAATAGATTAGAAAATCTGTTTGTATCCCTATACTTGAATCCAAATACACTTTTTTAAAATTTTTGGAGGATATTAACTCACAAATAGACAATTTGTTAAAGGTGTGTGGCTAGATATACTTTTTAAAATAACTATATAAAATACATAAAAACGTGGAAAGCTCCTTTTAGTGACTGATTAGAAAAATGTGTCACTGATATGCTCTTCAACACATGCTCTAAATTTCTAAACTCCAAGCAAAACCATGGTGTGACTGTCTTTTTGTACATGTGTTATGTGTTGTCTTACTCCCAAATATGCAGTTATTTGTTAAAAGTAAGTATTAAGAAGGTGGATTATGCTCAACTTTATAGAATCAAGTGTTTTCCTCTTCTTTTAGAAGCAATTTTGATGGTGATTGTCCTAGGTGTTTATCTCCCACCAAAGTCTTCCACCAAGGAGAAAACAATTTTCTAGGCCTCCACAAACATTTCTAAGATGCTACCCTTATATCTTGGCCTTCCAATCCTTCAAAGAAGCACTCAACACACCATGTAGTTGTTGGATTAATTTGGTAAAAACTGAAACAGCACAATTAAAGGAAGCTAAACCAAGTGGTGAAATAGATGAGACAAGACAAGAAAGAATGTCAAGGAAAAACAAACTAAAATTAAGGCACAAAATAAAGCAAGCACTCAAAGAAAATTCCTACCAATGGTTCTAGAGTGAATTACAAAACAATTTTCTAGGCCTCCACAAACATTTCTAAGATGCTACCCTTATATCTTGGCCTTCCAATCCTTCAAAGAAGCACTCAACACACCATGTAGTTGTTGGATTAATTTGGTAAAAACTGAAACAGCACAATTAAAGGAAGCTAAACCAAGTGGTGAAATAGATGAGACAAGACAAGAAAGAATGTCAAGGAAAAACAAACTAAAATTAAGGCACAAAATAAAGCAAGCACTCAAAGAAAATTCCTACCAATGGTTCTAGAGTGAATTACAAAACAATTTTCTAGGCCTCCACAAACATTTCTAAGATGCTACCCTTATATCTTGGCCTTCCAATCCTTCAAAGAAGCACTCAACACACCATGTAGTTGTTGGATTAATTTGGTAAAAACTGAAACAGCACAATTAAAGGAAGCTAAACCAAGTGGTGAAATAGATGAGACAAGACAAGAAAGAATGTCAAGGAAAGACAAACTAAAATTAAGGCACAAAATAAAGCAAGCACTCAAAGAAAATTCCTACCAATGGTTCTAGAATGAATTACAAAACAAAAATCTAAGATTAGAAAATAAAAACAAAGTGCAATCAAACAAAGTTTATGACCGGATAGATTTTACAAACAAAATAAACACAAAATCGAGAGCAACTAGTCACCAATTTTTTTTTACTACTTTTGGCTTTTTCTTTGGTTCTTTTCTTTTGTTTTTCTTTTGCAAATTTTTTTTCACTTTTTCCTTTTATGCAACCAGGAGTTTAATGCCTTTTACAAAGTGTTTTAGTCTCGGGTTCAATGAGAAAAACGAATTACACAACAAGTGTTACAACAAGAGGTCTATAAGTGCTTGTGTTCACAAGTGCTTCACAAATTTGTACAAATTTTCAAATAAAATTCAAGCACACTTTTCTTTTCATTTTCTTACACTTTAAAGACAGTTAGAACCTCTGTTTTTCTCTATTTTGAAAGGTTAAAAATATGTATAAGATTCAGCAAAAACAATTGCACAAGAAACCTAAGAGACAACTAGTGTTTAGGAAATTTTCTTGACAAACTTTTTCAAAGAGACATCATAGAAACCTAACTCTAAGAATTTGCTAGAACTAATAGTAAATATGAACTCAAAAATGTAAATCAAAAACACATTTAGGTCAGCCACACAGGAATAATGAATACAAAATCAAACCAAAACACATATTGACACAAAAGAGGTACAACAAGCTATTCTAGGATTTTCTAACATGTAAAAAGGACTACACATGACTTCTAACAAAACTTTCATGAATAAAAAAATCAAAAACACATGTTAATCATATTGTTCATACACGGATTTAAGAATATAAGAGAGAACTCAAAATAAACAAAATGCACAAGCACAAGAATCCTATAAGCACAAACCGAATTTTGTTCAAGAACAAGGAAACAAGCAAATGATTGAACCAAACACTTAATGTGACATGTGGATCTATTAATAATGTGTACAAAAATTAGATCCATTCAGCAAACATGAGATGACAATAAGGAAGACAACACATGTTTGAAAATAAGGAGAAGAGAAAGACACACATAACCTCAAGAGCAACCATGGCTCTAGATACCAAAAATGATGGAAATGGCTTGGAGAAGTGATGAATGTTCTCCTCTAAGCTTCATCTCCTTTGTCCAATCTTCTCTTGAGGTTGAACCTTGAATATGGAAGCAAGAAATCAAGCTTAGAAAGCTTGAGAAGCAACTCCAATGGCGCGGTCCTCTTCTTGAAGGAGAAGAAGATGTGATGAACCGAGGCACAAAGGAAGGATTCCTTTGTGAAGGTTCTTAAAGGGAGAGTGTTCTCCACGGTTTTGGAACCTTTGAAAGAGATAAAAGTTCTAAAAATTCAATCTCATATATGTCAAAAGTAATTACAAAGGTTAGGGAAATGTTTATATAGAGTAGGGAAGCTTGTGGAGCAAGCTAGGCTAACTATGATTCAAGAGAACCATAATTAGCTTAACTTAACCGTCCACCATGGTTTGAGAGGCTTGTGGAGCAAGCTTCTAACTTAAAAGCTTGGGAAGTAAGCTAAGTTAGAAGCTTGTAGCACAAGCTTCCCAAGTGTGCAAGGCAAGCTACTAAGTTGGCCAAAGGAGAAGCATGGGCGGCCTAGGCTTGTTTCCAACAAGTCCTCCAATCCAAAAATCTTGGAATTTGTTTAGTTAGGTTCACCAAATGGTAGTGAGACCTAGCTAAATCAATTCCTTAAAAAATATGGAGAAAAACAAGACTTATATGTAAAATTTGACCTAGGCCCAATTATGACCCAATCACTAGTTGCACCTACACACATTACTATTTGTCACCCCACTTCTACTACTAAAAATACAAAAATGGATGACCCTTAATACAAGGTCAAATAGAGCAAAAGTCTCTAAGTAACATGCCCTAAAATCTAAAAGGAATATCCTATAATGAAAGAAAGAAAGTGCCCCACAAATACAAAGACAAAATGAACCTATACAATGAACTACTATATACAATCATATGAAAGGTCTTTTTTGCTTTGACATGATTCTATCAACGACATCAACCAAAATAATTTGTTGATTATGAATATCATCAAAAACACCTTATTAACTTGTGAATAAAACAAATTTAAATGCAATAGTCAAATATTAACTCATTCATCATTAATTTGAACATAAGTATATGTCTCGATTATTTAAATGAATGTATTTAGCCAAATTTTTAATTTGAATCTAAATTGTGTTTTTTTTCTTAAATGTGTGACTTATTATCAACATCTGATCTTATAATAATCATCATAGATATTTGTGTTTAATCATTTAATTCTAAGATGCATAAAAATATCTAAATAGTCAATCAAATATTTATAAACAATTAGAAACTAAACATAGACACTCAATATTTTAATTCAAAATCAATTTCAATTTCTTTGTGAAAGAATAAATGGAATAAAACATATAAATAAAAACTTAAAAGAGAGAGGATATAAGAAAAAGAATTTGAAAGTTAAAGAAGCCATTTCGTGGGGGATAAAGGGACTTGAACCCTCACAATTTCTAAAATCAACAGATTTTTCTCTTACTATAAATGCCA